CTCCGCTCGACCAGAAACCAGACGTGTAATGTTTAATCCCATTCCCTCCCAAAGTTTGTTTTCGTGCCCAGACTTTCCCGTTTGAAACTTTCCATCCTTCAGGAGCTCCTCTGGGAATGGAAAGTCGGGGGGAGGAAGGGGGGGGGGAGGTTGGGAGGGAGGGGTTCCAGGTGTTGATAGAGCACAACACAACTCCCACCTGTGCCCACGGCCCCACTTTCCTTCCTCCAATCCGAGCTCGGAAAAGCTGTTGCAAAGAGATTTGGAGCTGGGGGGGAAAAAAAAAAAAAAAGTTTGTGGCTGCAGAACTGCAGAACTTATTGCCCTAAATCCGGATTTATTAAACAAAAATGAACGTATCTGTCTATAAACAGAGATGCTCGGTTGGGAGAAATGATGGAGGTGCGTGGAAAGCAGGCAACGATTTCAGTTTTGGTTTTTCTCAACGGTGGAGGAGCTTCAGCTGTGCCTCGTGGTGGGTCGATGCGCCCTTATTTCGAGCTGAGCTTTTGGTTAAATCCGTGTCAGCGCACCCATCTCATTGCCATTGGCAACACGGCGGCCACCAGGCTCAGTTTTTCCCTTTCCTGAAATAAAAGGGCAGTTATGTTACAAATAACAACGAGGTGTTGTCGGTTTGAATAGAATTAGAAACGGAGTTGGTTGTTTTCCTCTTTGAATTTTGATTTTTAGGAAATAGACTTTAAAATGTTGGGGAAGGGGGGGGGGGGGGGGGGGAAGCAGTCTTTTGTAGCATCAGCCCGGATGTATTTTCCGCAGATGTTTAATGCTTCGGAATAAAAATCGATCTGAGAACAACAGCACCGATATGTCATTGTGTTATACGGCTTCGCCTAAAATTCCAGAAATATTTTCTCGCTGTTTTTCCGCGTTCTTTAGTGCCTCATTAAGTGTATTATCAGAATCCATTTCTGCTTAGGTTCAAAGAATAAAAAAGAGACAAACGGAAATAATTCCGGTACAGCAAGTGCGTATATTCGGTCTCCCGCGTCCTCGATGCGTTTCTAAATCTTTATTTTTTTTCTCTCCTTTCTCTCCCCCTTTCTTATGGGTTCAATCGGGAGATCGTTTTTCTCCGATTCCCTTTCAGGGCTGCAGTTCGCTTCCTCGCTTGTTTGTTGCTTCGTTTGGAAGCTTTTCTTCTTTGCGAGTTCACATCAACAGCGGGGCAGCGGTTTGACGCTTTCTATCTCTACGCACGGGGATATCAGAAACCCCAAAGTAACACGGGGATGCCCGACCCGTTGGCATCACCTCGGTTTTGACACCCCGCTCCTTCTGCCGTGGGATCAGCGAGAGGTAATTCCGCCTCTAAATTCGTTTGACGTTTTATTGCTCGTGGAGGGAGAGAAGCGCCGGGAAAACGCTTCTCTCTATTCAAGAAATAAACAAGAAATTCCATAAAATCAAATAAGAAACCCCACAGAAACAAAATCCAACAGAATCCGAGAGCCGCTCAGCCCTGCGGGAAGCAGGTAGTGAGAAATACAACCCAGAATCTCTTTCCACTAATTTTTAACATAATGGGAGCTCGAAAGGGCAATTTTTCACTTTTTTTTCCCTTTTTTTTGGAAGAAAATCTTTTCTTTGGGGCAGCAACGAAAAGAAAACAATAGAAGAAAAAAAGATATTCGGAGCTTACAGAGGGAAGAGAGAGAAAGGGAAGGAACTTGTCATAAAAAAAGGAAAATTCAGTGCAGTGTGCTGCAATAAAAGAATATGACCGCTATAAAACTTTATAGGGTATAAATTTCTGAAGGTTAAGGAACTAAACGGCTGTAAAGCAAACAGTGCAAGAAAACTTTCAGGAACTCCTAAATTACTACAACGACTCGGGAATGTGGGGAAACCCAACGTGTAAATGCTCTTATTTCTGCTTCGGTCGCATATAAAGTTCCTTTATTTTTATTTTGTTTTGTATTTTTTGTTTTGTTTTGTTTTGTTTTGTTTTCCCTAACGGAGGGGGGAGTTAAAAAATAAGAGATAAGTTGGGGGGAGAAAAAAGGTGGGGAGGGACTTGGGCTAATTTATTCTTCTCCTGCAGTTGCCGTGAAAATCCCGCACTCTGGATGATACCCTTTGTTCTTTTTTATTTCCCCCCCTTTTCTTTCTTTCTTTCTTTTTTTTTTTCTTTTTTTTCTTCTTCTTTTTTTTCTTTCTCTTTCTTTAAAGCAATTCCAGGCTGCCAGAATGCAGAGCCGCGCACACAACAACACACACAGGGGCACCCCCTCACTCACACACTCCAAGTTCTGGCGAGACGTCTGGGCTTGGGAAGCTCTTTATCGGTTTACAGCCCTGGCCTTCCCCCTCCAGAGCAGAATGACCAATTGTTTAGTCTCGGAATTTGAAACAATAGTGGTTTTCAAAAGCAACCCCATTTTGTCTCTTTTATTGCTAGCAGAGCGGCTGGATGATGAGGCTCTCAGAGCGCAACACCCCAACGCTGCGAGGCGAGGCGAAATCCATTTTTTCTTTTCCTTGCCCTTTCCCTTCCCCATCTCTTTTCCTTGGCAGCTCCGTGCCCCCCAAACCCAACTCTGCCCCGCACGGAGACCCCCGCACCCTCGACGGCGCTGCAGTACCGCGCTTGGCCGCGAGGTGGCGCCATTGCTCCACGATAGACGCGCGCCTCCCGCGCCCCGCGGCGCTGCTCCGCGCAACACCTTGATTTCATTAGCGGCAGCACCGCGCCGCTGCTGGCGTGCGGGAACCATCCCGAGGCATAAAATATAGGATTAATTATAGCCGTTTTGCCGATTTTTATAGGTTACATCTATTTTTTCTTTTTCTTTTCTTTTTTTTCTCTTCTGCGAGGGTGAATTGTGTGATGCTCAAAGGGGAAAAAAAAAAATAGAGGAGGGGAGTTGATCTGTCGGCTGGGATGGAGTGAGAGGTGGGACACGCATCTATTTTCAGTGTTCATTTATAAGGGGAGAAAATGTATCGGTTTTTGTCTTCTGCGAGTTCGGGTGGAGGTGGGAGGACAACTTAATTGTCTCCAAACCGAAGATTTACGTTTGGAAGACTGAAAAGGAGAGTGGATTGGAGAGTTCGGGCACGCAGAATCGGGATATTTCTCCTTGGCACTGTACCTTGGCCATTAGGATGATGTGTGCGATCTCAGCTCATCGTTTTATACGTTTTAGATTCAGGAGCATCGCCTAAAAGCACTCTTTGTGGAATTTAGTTCTTGCTCTTTTTGGTAACGCTGCCGCTTCTTCATGCCCGAAGACTCCACTTAACGTGCTTGAAATATTCCTAAATGTCACAAAATACTCAAACACGATGAACTTACAGCGCTTTATAACGTGAGGAATTCCTTCGTTAACGCAACAGCACCGAAACGCAAACTTTTAGCCCTATTAATTCACTTTTATTTCGGCCTTATCCCCCCCCCCCCCCCCATCATAACTACAAGGCAACCACCGTGCAGACGCTCCAACCCTTCCGTTCAGCCTCAGATAACAACGCAGTAAGAAAAGCCGGCAAACGTTGCACGAGAGTTTTCCTCTCGAATCGATGCGGCTTTGCCTTGGCTGAAGTTGTGCGGAGGGGGGAAGGAAGGGGGTGGGGAGGGAAGAAAAGAAAAATAAAAGATCGCCCCCCGATCTGCAGCTTTCTGCTGAATAATGCCCCAAAGTTACAACGATGCGCAAACGGGAGCGGCTCTGGCAACGATTCCAGGCGTTGTCCAAAAAGGAAAAGTCTCGACACCTCGAGACTCCATCACAAAACCCATCCAACGAAACGCACGTGGGAAGAGATACGGATAAAATAACAACAATAATAATAGTAATAAAGCAGACGGAGGGAAATCGTGCCCTCGTGCTCCCCGTGAAAGCGCAGAGCAGCGTTAAAGTTAAGGTTTACCTAACAGAGGCTTCGGGGCCGTTCTTTTGCCTTTCTTTCCCGTGGATTCCTAATAAATCTCTCCTCCGTTGGGTCTTTATAAATTACCCCACACACATCCGCACCCGCTCGGCTTTTTTTTTTTCCTCTTCCCCCCCCCAACCCCGGCCCCCCTCTCTTATAATAGAAACATTTTCCTTTCATCGGGAATCTGAGTACAGTAGATGAGTGATTTAAGATCGGTATTGATTTGCAGGGCATTGATGAGTTCCCGTCACATCGCGACCATAAAATCCTACCGCCCTTTCTAAAACGCCAACTTCCAACAACAACTTTCCCTTCTCTCCTTTTTCGGAGCTTCGTTTAGGAATGGGAACCGTTGTGATTTTTTTCATTTTTTTTACCACCATCAGTGGATGCGGGAACGGTTAGAAAGGCACGGGGAGGGACGCGAATCATTTGCTGGGGTTTCTTTGGCCAATTCAATGTTTTGCTGGGTTGAAAATCCGAGCACCGCGCATCCCCACGCTGCGCTGTTCGGCTCTGTTTCCTTATGCGCACCATTTCTGGGCTTTTATGTGCGAAGATGAAACCAAAAATCTGCTCAATCGACGATAAAAGTGTGGAGAAAAATAAAATGTTAACTTGCCTTTTAGGGGGGGGGGGGAGGAGGGAAGCCTTAATTATACCACTGCAAGTACTCCAACAACAATAATTACTTGAAAAGGCTCTTAGACTCGGCTCAAATTATCCCTGCTCAAAAGAGGCGAAACGTGTTTACTTAAATTATTTCTCTAAGGGTGCTTTTAAAGTTTTATTCCGTTATTATCTTTGTTTTCTTTCTTTCTCCCTTCCTCTCTTTCTTCCTCCGTACCTTCGTTCCCCACCCGCTCCCACCGCCAATTCGAATGCAGGCATTTTTACCACCACCCAAACGAAGTGACCAAACCCAACTTTTCTCCTCTTCTCGCTTTTTTTTTTCACGTCGTTTAAGGTTGAAAACCTCCCCACCGCTGTAGGCAAGCTGAAAGGAAAAGGGTTTTTCCCTACTTTGCTTCACCCAAAGCCGTTCGGGGGGCTGCAGAGCAAAGCGGGGATCTCAGGATGGGGGGGTGGGGGGGGGTGGGGAGTGGAAACGAAGTGTTTGGAAGCGTCTTGGAGTTGTGATGGAGGTGAAAGGGTCGGAAAGCGGAGCGGGCATTGAGAGGGGGGACAGCGTTGGGTTGGGAGGGGTCGGGGCCGTTATTAGCTGGAATTCGTCTCCGTAATACATATTTGCTGAGTGCGAGAAATGGATTTCCATATCTACCCCCTGTGTGTTTTCGATGGTGGGAAATCGCAGCGTTGGCATCTTATGGGGGTGAGTTTGCTCCGTTGTTACACCCATAAAACAGCCGGGCTCGCTCTCGTTTCCCCTCTGCCATCCCACACAACCCCCCCCCCACAACCCTCCAAAAGCTCTTCTCCCCAATCTTTCCTGCTAAGTCCCAACGACAAAAACAACAACAAAAAGAAGTTGTTGAGGTGGGGGACGAAGTGAGGAAGCGGCCAGCAATGAGCCAGCATAGAGGTTCTGCTCCGGAGGTGATAAGAGAAACAATACTCGGAGTTCGCAATCATCCCCCAGCACATCTTTGAGGAGTCCTCGGCTTGAGGAGGGCAGGGGGTGGGGGGAAAAAGGGGAGGGGGGGGGACGACACTGAGAGAAAAGCACCAAAAGTCAATGTTATATACGAAAAACCATCATCATTTTAATTCAATATTGACACCTCCGCATCTCGCCGTAATGCGGACGAGTCCAATCGAAACCTCTGTTTTATAGCAGTAGAGGAAAGAACTCGTAAAATCCTAACGGCTTTTATGTAGTGCGGTATAAACAACAACAACATCCCCGGCTTTATGGCGTTTTATAGTTTGTTAAACAGTTTACAGCCTTTTTTGGGGCTATTACAAATGCAATTCCCTTCATGCGATAGTTAAACCTTTATCAATAATAAGGAAATTGATCATTAAAATGTTAAATATGACTACCTCGTTTGTTTTAAAATATGTTTAGGGTAAGAAGCTGTATGATTTGATAACTTGTATTAAAATACCAATTACATTTATAGGACCTTTTAAAACTGCTAGCAATTAAATCGTGTTCTTTTACAGTTTTCCAAAGCGACCCTGACATTTAAAAAGGCTAAAACTGCCTCGTTAAAATTTCCAAATTAACGACTGGGAGCGCTTCCCTTTCATTTTCCAACACTCCCCAAAAATCAATCTTTGGGGTGGTCGAGGTGCGTGATTTGTTGTGAGGCGAGCGATATCTCATTAATGTAGGTAGTTAAACATATTTAATCCGTATATTCACCCCACCTCCTCTCCGTCTCCCTCCCGCTCCCTCTCTCTCTCTCTCTCTCGCTCCCCCTCGCTTGCTTTTCCTTCTTTATTCTCTCACACTCTTCCTTTCACAATCATGCAGTGCAGAGTCCGTGTGGAGTAAGGAGAAGCCAATAGGATGAGGTTTTGGTAATAGATGCAAATGATCATGAAAAGACACTGCAAAATATGAAACAACTCATTTGCGCTGAAGTAAATCACTGAAAACTGTTTATGAACTGGCATCTCTTCTTGGAAATGTAAAGCGAGAACTCTTTAAGTGGCGATTTTTTTTTTTTTTTTTTTTTTAGGGGTGGGGGGGGAGGAAAGAATTCAGTACCATGCAGGCTTAGAGTTTTGATTATATCCTCCTTTTATATTCCTGGAAATCACAAACTGTCGTAGCTTAGCATCTTAGCGCTTTCTTTTTTTGCTAATAGATTCCCGTGCTTTGCTTCGGTTGGCTTTTTTTTTTTTTTTTTTTTTTTTCCTCTCTCCCCCTTTCTTTCTTTCCTCCCCTTCTTCCTCCTCCGTACGAAAGATTATTATTTAAATTAAGATGAGCTCTTATTTTGTCAACTCACTCTTCTCCAAATACAAAACCGGGGACTCGTTGCGACCCAATTATTATGACTGCGGGTTCGCTCAGGATCTTGGGGGCAGACCCACGGTGGTGTACGGACCCAGCACGGGGGGAACCTTCCAGCATCCGACCCAAATCCAGGAGTTCTACCACGGAGCATCCTCACTCTCCAGCTCCCCTTACCAACAGAATCCCTGCGCCGTGGCGTGCCATGGGGACCCCAGCAACTTCTATGGCTACGACCCTTTGCAAAGGCAGAGCCTCTTCAGCGCCCAGGAGTCGGACTTGGTGCAGTACACGGACTGCAAGCTTGCTGCCAGCGGCCTTGGAGAGGAGGCGGAGAGCTCGGAGCAAAGCCCTTCTCCGACCCAGCTTTTCCCCTGGATGCGACCGCAAGGTGAGGCGAGATGGGAAGGACAGCGAAGAGGCATTTCCTGAGCCCATAAAAGTAGCCCTCCTTCCTTTCTTTCTGCCCCTCTTCCTTTCTTTCTGCCCCTTTTCCCTTTCTTTCTGCCCCTCTTTCTTTCTGCCCCCCCTTCCTTTCTCTCTCTCATTTTCTTTCTTTCTTTCTCCCTTTCTCCCGCTCCCCTTTTCTTCCCCAATGACTGTATTTTAGTGCTTTATGGGGGTAAACTTTTGCACTTGTAAATTGCTTTATAGTTTAATTACCCTGAAGGAGCCCTTTTCTTCTGGGGGCTGAACGTAGCCGGGCTTTCAGTGGAAGGAAGCGTCCTTAAAGTTTATGGCACTTTTATAGCCTTAAGAAACACCCCCCCAACCCCCCCTTTATTTTTTTTTTTTTTCTCTGTTTTGTTTTGTTTTGTTCTGTTTCTCGTTTGATTCGGGATTTCGGAGATGCTGTTGGCTCTCCCCGAGCTGCGGTTCTTTTTTTTTTGTGTGTGTATCCCCGCATCCCCCGGAGCCGGAGCTGTTGTTGTTGTTGTTGTTCGGGTAATAAGGAGTGCGCGAGTGGAAAGGTTTTGCTGGGCTGCTCGGAACGGGGCTCGCCGTCACCCTTCCCCCCCCCCCCCCCCCCCCCCCCCCCCCCCCCCCCCCCCCCCCCCCCCCCCCCCCCCCCCCCC